ATACATAGATGGGCAGCTGTTCCGCCACTCTACCACCACCCCATGGCTCTTCTAAGTGAGATAAGTGCCCCTAAAACCACAAAACAAAGTAGAACCATAGCTTAATTGTATCATAAAAGGAATAAAAAAAAAAGACCAAAAGATGTGTGTATGCATGTATATATATATATTGGGGCTGCACTATTCTTGAAATAAATAAATAAATATATGTATGTATATTTCATTCAAATTGGTACTCTGACACATTTCTCCTGCAACAGATAATTAAGCATTCCTGCAATTGCAATGCAATTAATCATGCGGCCCTGGTATATATGTATGTATGTATGTATATATGCAGATGTATATGTATGTACATGTGGTTATATGTATATATATGTATATATAATGAACACAACACTGACTTATTGAAAAGGAAAAAAGGGAAAAAAAATCTCACAGGGTGTGAATGTACACTTCACATACTCCACCCAGTATTCTCCCTTTCCTTCTCTATTTTTTTCCCTCCTTCATGTAGAAGAGGTGTCTCTATCATGGTCGACAAGAGATTACCATTTCCTTTAAACAGCACGGTAACAGACCCAGAAGGCCGCTACATCATTATTCAGGCAACAATCTTTAACAAATTATATACAATCGTTAATCTGTATGCCCCTAATAATGATGATCCAGCCTTCTTTCACACAGTCTTCTCTTTACTATCTAACCTATCAGACAGCTCGACAACTATAATTGGAGGAGACTTTAACACAGTACTAAATGCTTCATTAGACCGATCTAGAAACTCAGTACACACAAAGCAATCACAATCGGCTAAGGTAATACAGGAATACATGGATGATTTTGGGCTTGGCGATGGCTGGAGACTCAAATACCCATCGAAGAGGAATATACTTTCTTCTCTCCTGTGCATCGCTCATTATCAAGAATTGACTTTTTTCTTTTAAATAACTCCATCTCACAAAAAATTACCACAAAAATACACCCGATCATTATCAGCGACCATGCACCAATATCACTCAATCTGCAAATACAAACCATCCATAAACGGTCCCCAACATGGCGCTTTAATATCTCATTACTTAAAGACCCAGACTTTGACAAAATGGTGAGACGGGAGTGGGCAAACTTTCTTGAAGACAATGACTCTCCAACTTTATCTCCATCTTTAATATGGGAAACTGGGAAGGCAGTAATCAGAGGAAAAATTATATCATACTCCTAACTTCTTCTACAAGAAGAAAAAGGAATTGCAAGCAGAAAAAAACATTGAGGAAAAAATTAAACAACTAACACAGGAATATGCAAACAATCCAAGTGATCAAGTATGGACCCAATTACAGTGTACAAAATCGCAACTGGACAATATTCTATCAAAGAAAACTGAATTTATCATACAGCAACTAAGATATAATAATTTTGAACACAGTAACAAATCAGGAAAATTTTTGGCTAATCAGCTCCAACGCAATAAAGAAAAATCTCTGATACCAACAATCCAGGGGCCGTCCGGAAATTATACACAATCTCCTCAGGAGATCAATCAGATTTTCTATTCTTTCTACCATAACTTATATTCAACAGTAAACAATCCAAACCCAGAAGATATTCAGGCTTTTCT